GTAGATGCTCAATAAATGTTTGAGGAATGCATTAATTAATAAGGCTCACTATCTCAGCCATTTCCTTTCCAGTCCAGGCTCCACACAGCAGCCCCTGCTGTTTTCTCCTGTGTTCATGCTGCCATCAGTGTTCACCTAGTGGTGACAATGACTTTGCTAACAGACACACTGCCTCTACCTTTAGGCCCTTCAGAGTGGTCAGGGTCTCCCACTGACCCTCCATTACCCTACATGATCTGGTCCCTGCTACCTTTTCCAATCTTATTGCTCAAGCACCATGCACTTCACATCCAGCCACAGCCTCACCAAACCCCTGAGCCAGCTGTTTCACATCTCTGTAGCTTTCACAAGCTGTTCCCTCCGCCTGAGACATTTTCCTCATCCTGCATATCTGGCAAACTCCTATCCATCCCTCAAAACCATTTCTTCTGTGATATTTTGCCTGGCCCCCTGAAACTCCTTTTATAACTCCTCTACTTGAGTGCCTACCATCAGATACCCATCCTTTGACCATTATAACCTCTCATGAGCATTAAAATTGTTAACATGAGCTCATCGAGGGTAGGCAGTTTGTCTCATCGTTTTGTGAACTCCTGGTGCTTAGCAGGTAACTGGCACTCAACGTTTGTTGAATGAAAGAACAACAAAACAGCATCCTGACAACACTTCATACCCTTCAAGGCCCAATTTAGAAAGCCACTTTTTTTCCTGAAAGTCCCCAGCAACAATTGATCCTATAGAAACAGCCCTTTCACTCAGCCATACCCTGACTCAAAAGTTCTCCCCTGCAGCCCTTCCACACCCGCCTATGGTTGCCAATTGCAAATAAATCAAATCTAACCCCTTACCCACCCTCATTTCCCACCTAACCCAATGTCACACCCGGTGCCAACTTCCTTTCCCTCCACTGAAATCCTCTAAGGCCAATGTAAGCTGCCACCTCCAGGGGACCTCCTTACTGCCCCCTCAGCTTCCCCTGTGGGAAACTTATAATGGGTTATACAGTTTAGCATTTACAACATATGCATTCATTCATTCATTCATTCATTCATTTAGCAAACCTTTTCCACTTTGCCCACCCCTTCTGTACCTCAGGCCCCGTGCTGGATCCAGGGGAGGGTAGAGTGGAAAATGATTTGATCCCTCTTCTCAGGAACCTCATGATATGGTAGAGGTTAGAGAGACGAAAACAAATCACAGCAAATGCTTACACTGCACTTGCTGTGTGCCAGACACTGTTTTAAGCACTTTATGTGTAACTGACTCATTTAAGCATCATAACACCCTGTAAGGTATTATTCTCATTCTTCAGATAATAAACTGAGGCACAGAGAAGGTAAGTACCTTGCCCACTCCCCTAGCTAGGAAGCGGCAGAGACACGCTCTGAACTCAGTTAGGATCTTAACCACCATCCTAAACTGCTCTCTGCAAGACAAAGTAGCAAGTGCTATTAATCACTTCATAAATATACTATTTGCCTGATACCAGTTCCTTAATTCAGCCTTATCATTATTCACTGCCATTCATTAAATCAGACATCTATTGAAAAACTAGCACCTGCCAGACAACTCGCCTCCCTCAGCCTCCCTCCAACAAGCTTATTAGACTCAGTTTCCAGGTTTTCCGTCCATTGCTCATCAGATATTTATTGCAACTACCTTTGTACCACCGTAAGAGACAAGGAGATCTGGGCAGAATGAAGAACTTCTAGTGTCTGCCACCAGCAGCATGATCACCCTGAGGCCACCCAATAGTCACACACGGTCCAAGTAAATGCAGGGGGCTTGTTATGCACAGGCAGCCCACACTCCTCCTCCTCCCAGCCTGATTTGCATCCCTAAGCTCCCCCTGCATTATGATTCTGAAGTCAGCTCTGGGCTCTGGCCTTTCCTAGTCTGGTGGGGAGGCAGGAGTTAAGTCATTACACCACTGCACGAGGCGGGCTGCAACAGGGGAGCACAGGACTCTTCCGCGTTCTATTCCCAGACAGCCTGGCACAGGGCAGGTTTAGGAAGCAGACCTTGCTGATGGACTAACTAACGGGGCCACTTCTATCTAGAGCATGAGACTCCCCCCGCAGGCCTTGCTGTTGGGAAGCCAGGATTTCTTCTTCCCAAGAGACTGGGCTTTAGCTCAACAATCTGACCTCCGCCCTGCTCTACAACTTTACCTTCCATCTCAGGACCTCGGGGAGCCAGAAAAGGCCTCTTAAAGCATCTCATGCAGCTCCCTTACTTTACATTGAGGAAACAAGAACCCAGAGACAGGAAGGCCTTCCCCAGAGTTGCCCAATCCAGCAAGGTTTCCATTCCACCACGAGGGCAAAGACCAGGGAATGAAGACATGTGATGGTGGCTCAGTTCCTGGGTCCCTGTGATCCGTTGAGTCCAGTCCAATGCTCCATAGCCCACTCTTTGAACTTCCCATGGCATAACAGCACGTTAAAGGCTCTGAGAAGTCCTGCAGCAAAGAAGCGTGCTTTGCTTTGAACCTACATTTGTCAAGCTTACATAACCAAGGATGCCTTTCCCAGTAATATATTATAAAGCCAGCTGAAATGTAATAAGTGTTTGCTTATATACTCACTCTTTACAACCTCATTGCAATTAATTCTCATAACTAGCTTGTGAAGTAGGTGTCATTATGCCCATTTTGTTGTTGAGGATAGTGAAATTCAGAGAGGTTAGGAGGTTCTTACCCAAGGTCAGAGAGAGAGAGAGAGGGAGAGAGGGAGGGAGGAAGAGAGGGAGAGAGAGAGAGAGTGGTGGGGCCAGGATTGGAACCCAGCTCTCTGACTGCAGAGCACAGACAGTCTTAACCTCTCTGCTGCAGCCCTGCCTGCTATCACATCTGTCCGCAACCCACAGAACTACTTTGGAAAATACTGGTCTAAAGCAGGCAACCAAGTCTTTCCCATAAATTATTTCCTTAGGCTTCTAGCAACTGATTCACATCCGCGGACCTCAGTCTCCCTCAGTTACCAGCTCCCACTTGCTCTGCACCGGTGATGTCCCAACTCACAGCCACCCTATCAGGTGGGTGACAGCTCACTCACAGCCCTCCCCGTCCCCTAGACACAGCAGGCCCTAAGCACAGAACCCAGAGGCCATATACTGGGATAACAGATGTCCTGCCGCCCTACTTCTTTTAGACCTCAGCCAGAGGCCCCATTCCATCTGAATAGGTCGACTTTCAGAATTAGTTCCCATCTCCTCATTCCATGGAAAGGGGCCCTGGGTCAAGGGAAAAGGAGCAGGGGCAGGGGTCAAGCCTGAGCTGGAAGGATGAGGATGGGTATCCAGACGGCACCCTCAGGGCATCCTCTAAGTAGTCTGCCCACCAGGCTGCCAGGACCTGCATGTTCCAAGCATCCCCCCCCAGCCCAAGACACCTCCATGGCCCCCCCGCCAAGCCTCCCAAATTGCACTAGTTACCTAGGGGTTTCTCTCAAGCCTGGGGGCTGATGACTTCTGCTGTGGGACTGGGCAAATTCGCCAGATGCCGGGTCCTGGGTGGCACTTCCACAGGTGAGGGTCACTAGGGGTGGGGCTTCCAGGGACTGGAGGTGTCTTGTGTGATGTCACCACCAGAGGGTGGGGCTCAAGACAACCTCCACATCTCTACCCTCCCCCCATTACCACATTGATCAAATCCAGGTGACACTCTGCCCTCCTAGCCAGGCCTCCGAGGCAGAAAGAAGCTCCCTTAACATCTGCATGAAACATCGAGGGAAACCGAGGGCTAGCAGGAAAGCTGTGATTACCCAAGATCACACGGCCAGGTGGGCAAAGCTAGGCTGAGACCAGGTGTCCAGGGCCTGGTTGACGGATGTCAGGCAAACTTGACTGGCTTCTGTCCCCTACTCAGTGGGAATCAGAATGGAAGGAAGTTAGGAATAGAAAAGAAAACAGACACTCGAAAGGCTCACGAAGGAGATGGACTTCAGATTCGGACAAATCAGGTTTGACTCCCGATTCCATAACATACTAGCTGTGTGACCTGAGACAAGTGACTCACCTTCTCTGATCCTTAGCTCCCCCATCGGAATTATAATATCTACCTCATAGATTGCTGCAAAGATTAAATTTACTAGAACAAAGTTTCAGCACAGTTTAGAGACTCAAAAAATGATTTCTATTATCATTAATTATTAATAGTAGTAGTAACTAATATTACTAATAATAGTAGTATTTAAAATATCCC